CAGCCCCGCTGTGTCACCGGCCTGTGTGTGGAGGAGGGCCGCCGGCGCTAACGTACCCGGCGGCGGCCGCTGGCATTCGCCGTGTCGCAGCCTTACGGCATTGCAGGCCGTGCAGGCGTTATTGCCAAGGGACGGGGGTTCTCACAGCTGGTGTAGGAGGGTAGGGGTGAAACCTTAGGTTAGCCACCTGCAGGCAGTCTCCTTGTGGATTCCGGGCGTAAACAATGCACCATAACGAGCTGCTTTTGCACATCGGAAATGCAGGTCTTGATGTGCCTCTCAATAGCATTATGCAGATTATACAGCTGTGCCTGCCAAGTTTTGGTTATGAACCTCTGAGAGGGATTATTAAAGTAAAGAATTATAGAGAATTACAGCTTTTTCTGCTCTTCACAAAAGTCTGGAACTGGTCATCCTGCAGGCTGCAAAATCGGTTTCTGTGGTGAGATGGGACTGGTAGCATGCAGTGATGCTGGTGCACCGCAGCATGCTAGGGGCGAAGTGAAATGGTTAGCTTATGAAAGCACCTGTTCTCTCCAAGATGTAAACTGTATCAGTATTCATTATAAGCCCTTTTTTTTTTTTTTTTTTAAATTTAAATACTGAACAAGGGCTTTTGCTTTTGAAATAAGGGATTAGCTGCAGTGTAGAATACAGACTCACTAAAGATGCTGTTTGTCTGATTTGTGTGCTTAAAAATTATGCATAGCTTGGAACAATGCTTTCTTAATAGATACAGAAATGTTGCAGCTGCTATCTAGTCAAGAATACGGAAATTTTCACTTCTTTCCAAAAAGTCAAGCTTATACGTACTGTTCTGTGTTTATGTGAGGGTGTGCATCTGTTCTCTACCAGGGTTAAAGCTACATGAGGTTTTTCCTCAGGTGTAATGGCTACAGCAGCGTAACCTGAGCACTGCTTGATTGAGAATCAGGCCATTGATTTTGATGAGTGACTTGAGAGCGTATAACCTACTCTGACTGCCATTAGTGCAGAATATTTTCTGGAAGAAAATTGATTTTTACCTTAAACAATGCAGAAATGTAGAACTGCTTTTAGAGTTTAGTTGACTAAATTGGATGATCTTTAATTCATTTTGTTGACTCTATGAATATCTTTTTAGAGGTGGCTGGAAATGTTGCAAGGAGAAATGTAAGGAAGGTTTTTAATCATTAATTGACATGCGGAGAAAAGGAGATATTAAAAAGTACAAAGTCTCTGTGGAATTAAGCCTTATCGCTGTTGTTTTAGTTGAATCTAAACTTGCTGAAATGAAGATTGGCTTACTGTGCACTCATGGACTTTCTGTGATTGCGCTTCTGTTCGATACTACTTCTGCTCTCTGTCCCATAGAAAATTATTTGCTATCGGTCTTCTGCTCATTAAATTCTTTGACTCAATTTGGCCACTTGCATTCTGCCTCTATGTGGACCACATAGAATAGAAAAACTGCTTACAAAATGATCAACTCAAAGTAAGATTTACTTAATTAGGTGCAAATTAGCTTTATTGATCCATTCGTTGCTTACCAACCTTCTCTGTTTGGGAGAGACAAGCAGTTCATCAGAGATTTAAAACTGGGCATTATCTTCTTAAAGATAGCTTAAAATAGGACAGATTGGAGGTATATCTGATAAGGCATTGTTAATGTAAGTAAAGTTCGGGCTTTTCACCACCTTTACTCTTGGCAAAGGCCACAGTTCCTCTCAGCAGAATTAAAAAGCAGTATAGTCGCATAGAAAATTCACTTTATTGATTCACAAATAAGTGAAAGCATCTAGGAAATACATACTTTGACAAATGCAAGGTGTGTGTTTATAAATATGCACTCTGTGGCATAGCTCAACCAGTAACTCCCAGATGTTTTGCTGTTAAATGTGATAGTTAAGTCAGAGGTGCCCTTTGGTTAGCAATGGCAGAATGCATGCTCAGTGTGGGCATCTGCAGATTGCGGTGGTTGCAGTAGCAAGTCCCAGTTCTGTGGTTGGCATTTGCACAAAGAGGCATAGCTTCCTTTTCTCTTTCTTTGCTTTCTCTTCTATTTCTCTTATCTATTGAAAGTTCCTAATTTGAGATTTATTTGATGTAGTTAGGTGCTGCATGCAGTTTCTGATTGACATTAATTTTGGTACTTGCATAAAGTCAGTTGGGAGTCAACTACTTACTACAGATAGTTGTTCATATTTCAAAAGTGATGCCTTTCCCTGAATTTGGGAATGTCTGAAGTAGAGCCAACCTTAATACATTATTTTGAATTAATTTTTTTCTTGAATACTTGGTGCTGTTTAGAACAGAAATGTAATATGGCCTCAATCACATAAGTTCAGGTTCTTTGAAATTGCTTTGCTATCTTTGACCAAGGCAATATTCAGACATAACTGGAAGATGATTAGCAACTGTTTGCCATTTGTTTTATTAAATAGGGTGTGAATAAAAAAGTGAAATAAGCATAAATGTACTTTTTATAGGCATGCATGCCGTCAGCTCTGTTAGTTATTACGCAGATGTGGAAATAATAAATCATGAACCTAATTGCATATTCTCTTGCTGAGAAGACTATAGCTTTTAAATAATACTTAACACAGAATAATGAATATTTTTTTCATACCAGCAAGTCTTGGTAAGTAGGTGTTTTGTGTTTAGAAATTAGAGGACTTTGAATAATACGTCACTCAAGAAGAATCAGCATTTCTGCTTATGATTTGGGGTATCTGATAATCTGCTTAAGTATGTATTTAGTGGGGCATATTGATTTACTTAAACTCTTGCCTTTCTCTGAAGCAAATTATGTTTTAACTGTTTGCTCTTCCTGTAGTGCCTTGCGTTCCACGATATTTCACCCCAAGCTCCAACGCATTTCCTAGTGATTCCTAAGAAGCCAATTGTCAGGTTATCTGAAGCAGAAGATTCTGATGAATCTGTAAGTACTCTAGAAGCTTTCTGTACACCAAACTGTACCTCTAATTACTTCATAATCTACTAGATTCTCCCCCTATTCCTCTTGACATTTCAAAGAGGCAAAGTAGTTTCCTGATACTATAATCCTTTTCCTCTAGCTTAGAATGGGAATGGAGTTAAGGTTTTCCAGTAAAAGTAGTGATATAAAGCAAAATGTATCTCTGGGTATGTATTTGCAGTGCAAAATGAATTGTTATTTTGCGGTACAATCTTGATGTCTGTTTTCATGATTTACAGGCACTAGTACTTATTCTAATACAGGCTTGGGATTTTTGGCAGGTCAGAGATGAAGAAAGGGAAAGTTAGCTGAGAGGTGCTGAATATTTCATTTGTAACTATAAACATCAAGCTCAAAGATTTTGTAAACCTTTACATGATAAGATAAAGTTTCTTTTCTACCAGAATTATGTGTGTTGCCTGAAAAAGTAATGGGGGCTTTAACCATGAGATAAATTTAGCTTCTGTGACATTTGTAGTCTGTTACTGTCTAGCTTGAAAAAAATCTATAGCTCTTTTTTCCCCCTATATTATGCATAGTCAGTCTTTGCAGCTTTTCTGGGAAAGTGTCAGTTGCAGGAAGACAATTTGAAGAGCAGTGGCTGAATTTCTAAGAATTACTGGCTTATCCGAATGGTTCTCTGTTCTCATTCCTTCCCTTCCTGCCCTCTCCCGTTTTTGTGTGTTTTCTGTTTGGTTTTTTTTTTCTTTTTGTTTTTTTTCTCCTCCAGCTTCTTGGGCATTTAATGATTGTTGGCAAGAAGTGTGCTGCTAACCTGGGCCTGACCAATGGATTCCGGATGGTTGTGAATGAAGGGCCTGAGGGTGGTCAGTCTGTCTATCACGTACATCTCCATGTTCTGGGTGGTCGTCAGCTGGGATGGCCTCCTGGCTAAGATTTTTACATCACAAGAGTTAACTGCATGCATATAAATTACCACCAAATAGATTTAATATGTCACCCATCAGTCTAGCCACTGTTAACGTATTTTTGTTTTTTGAATGTGTGTCTGCAAAGGGTAATAAACGCTCTGAACAACATTCGCACAATAAAGATTTAGCATGTGGGAATCGCCTCTGTCTGGTGTGCCTTACTGATGGAAACAATTCTGCAAGTTAAAATGGTGTTCTCCAGAGTGTAAATATGTAGCATGTTTCAGTCTGCTGTTAACAATCTTCTGTAGGTAGTGATTTGCCGAGGCATTTGAAACCTGAAGGTGCAACTGCTTAGCAGTCTTTCATGTCTTTTGGGAAGAAAGCATCTAAGCTTTTTGAATGTGGTATGTAAATATTCATAAAGCCAGTGTAGGCTGCTGCTAAGACTTTTTCAAAAAGTGTTGTGTGTGAAATTCCGAACATGCCATGCAGGGACTGTGTCAGTACGGTGCAATGTGTTGGAAACATACAGCCCCTGTTGGAGCCCTGTGTTAATGGCTGCTTTATAAGGCCCCATCTTTCTGATGAGAAGGGGTAAAACAATAGTCTTAATGGCAGCTGTGATAGTTCCACAGCACGCTGGTATTTACTTCTGTGTTGTGATTTGATGGAATTGAGGATGTGAAAGGAAAATACTGAACTGTATCTGTAGGGCCTTGTAAGATGCTCAAGGCTTTTCATCTTGACACATAAGCAGCAGATTTTATTGGGTGGACTTTGTCCTTCAGTGAATAGTAGTTTCTCTTTGTTGCTGCGTACAGTTCATGCAACACTGTCATTGAATCTGCAAGACAATGAATTTTCCTGAAATTAGGGTTACGGATGTGTCTGCCAGTGTAAATGTAAAACAACTGTTCTTTCTGTTAAAATTGAGAAGTCCCAGCTAACGAGTTTTTATGATGGAGGGTACTTGGCAGCCTTTAGGCAGAAGCCTTAAGAAAAACTGGGGTATTTGTGAGCACCACTTCTCCAGAGTACAATTTTAACACCAAAGGTGTTAGAGAAAGAAATGTGGGAGTGTAGAAGGTGGACAGGTAAAGGCTGTGAGTTGCGATCTCTATTCAGGTAAAAACTTGTAAGTTTGGTAAAGGCATTTGAATTCATTCAACTTGAAAGTATTCTGTAAGTACTTGAAGACTCTGAACCTTCAGAGTTTTTACCCTAAGACATGACTTCAGCTGGAAAATCAGCTACTGCTTCTGAAGACGGCTGGTCTATAATTGAGTAGGAATAAAAAGGTAGTCCTGTAGTTGAGTTAGGAATAAAAAGGTAGCCTGACAGCTGTTCGTCTGGATGTCCTGCACAGAAGTGAAGAAGAAAACCACTCAACCCGCAGAGGTGCAGCATCCCTGAGCATTCTTTGCCTCAGTCTTTAATAGTCA